TCAAAATGAAAAAGTAAATTGGTCCCGGGTCTAGGTCTTACCGTGCCACCTATGGTAATAGCTACTTCCCTATAGGGAAATTCGCTAAAACAAAAGAGTGTACTCTATACAATATTGTTTAAATTTTATATCAAAATTCATAAATATCATATACATCAAAAATATAATCCAGGCTTAAATCAAACAGATTAACCCTTAGTGCCCATTGACCAAATCTGTGGACACAGTATTATAAAACATCAATATCTGTATAAATATAAATTATGTTATATATAAAATATATCTAACCCATAGATGGGGTTTTAGGAACAAATTGAGTAATTTTTGTCCGATTTGGATGAAATTTGGTTTAAAGGTGTAAAGCGGGTTTAACTTGAATGAGTTCCAGCATAACCAGCATAATAGGACCATGGGAACGAGGCTTTACGGGGGGTTTTGCGGGGTAAAAATTGTTTTTTCTCACTTTTGACCCTCAAAACGCAAAATATCCCAATTTATCTTTAGACCTTTGTAAAGAGCTTAAAAAAACAACTAATCTAGTATATAAAAGTGTTTTTGTTCGGTTATTGGTAATGGAGAAAATGTAAAAAATTGTAAATTTAAAATTCCTATGTTATTCTTATGGAGAATATTATAAAATGTTGTAGTTTGCTTGTTTATCGATATATTTTGATCAAACTTGGCAAATTTATTTATTTTATACTAAGCTATCAATATATTACTAAAAAAAAACACACTTAATTAGTTTCCTTGTAGCAGCAAACCTAGGTACTCGTTAAAGCTAATGTTATTAAAATATATTTAATTGAAAATGAATTCAGACAAATGGAAATTCGCTTAGTTGGTAGGTTTGCTGCGGCGGGGGTATTTAAATCTTGTAGTTAATTTTATTGTCTCTAATTTTAAAACGAAAGTAAAAGTTTAATAGCACTCAATAGCGCTATTACCTTTCGGTCCTCTTATAAATTCCATCGGGGTGATAACGACTCACTGTGTACCACTACATTGTTAAGGCAAATTTTGAGCAGTGTTTTTGTATTAAAATATAAGTAATGGATACCGTTAGAAAGGTAATATTCAGACAAAAAAGTGTATGTAAGACGTTTTCAGCTACGTGTAACACGATCCACGACACTTAGCAAAATGATTTAAAAAAATCTAAATCAAAAACAAAATATTTAATACAAATATAAATATTCGTAGTATTATGAATGATATAATAATGAAGTAAAGTACACCATCGGAAAGGAAATGTTTTCGTGATTAATAATCACTAAAAATGTAGGGCATTATTAGAATATGAACCCGAGTTATATAGGGAAATGTAGAATCATGTCACACAACTTTGGCGGCCATTTTGATTACGTCATCAACACCCATAGAGTGCCCGAAAAATTTGTGTCCCGGACTTTTTGGACTCGTCTACGCATGTACTATCTGAATCCAAAGGGGCGCGTTGGTTGCCAGATGTGAAATATTATGGTGTAATTTTTTGCTAACCCACCCCACTACTGAGGGAATACTCATATGTAAATTTTTGACTCCTAGAACTAATAATAGTCACAGGACCAGTACTAGGCCTAACCTTGAACAACATGATAGGCCTAGGCCTACTTCAAAGACTTCTGATGGTCCAAAAAACGGGACGTAAGCCCCAACCCACACTGTCTTGGGGCGGAAAAAAACTGTGATATTAGTTTTAGGTTTGATTTCTTAAATATTAGGTCTATTTTTAACAAGATAGAAGACCTCGAAGTTTTGTTACATAATGAGAACCCTGAAGTATTGTGTGTTGCTGAAATGTGGCTTAATGAATCTAAGCTGAATTGTTTTAAAGTAAATGGATTCAAAACCATTTCTGAATATTCTAGACCTAACCGAGTAAGGGGTGGAGTTGCTCTGTTGCTTAAAACTGACTCTAGGCTTAAATTTAAGCCTATGACATTATCTATTGACGAAGACATTTGTTCTGAAGGTGTATTTGAGTTCTGTTTGGGACTAATGCAGCTAGACAAATTCTAAATTATTGTTGTAGTATTGTATCGGCCAGGGACTGGCAACAGCGCTGATGTGATTGATTTTATCGATCGTTTCGACTTGTTGATTTTTACCCTCAGAGATAAGTTTAATATCCCGCTTCTTATTTGTGCTGACTTAAATATAAACAATCTTGAGAGATCCTGGGAAAGTCAGCTGCTTCAGGATTTGTTAGAATGTAATAACCTGAACATTATATTTAAAGGACCAACGAGAGTAACACCTGACTGTATAACTCAGCTTGACTATTTTATTGTTGACTCGTGTGTTGCACATATGTTTCGTGCCCCCAGTGCCAAACCTGTTTTTTTTTTTCTGACCACCATTTGCTATCAGTACATCTGTTGTGTGAACGTTTTGGAGAGGGAAATGTAAATAAAACAGTGAAGAGGAAATTTACAGCCTCGACTTTTGAAGCCTTCAAAATTTTATCTAGCAATGAAGCTTGGATGCCAGAACCTAATTTAAGAAATATTACCTCTAATGATTTATTTGACCATTTCTACGATTCGTTCATGTATGTTTTTAATGTAAGTTTCCCTGTGTCTACTTCAAATACAAAGAATGAACATAGCTCTTCTTGGGTCAGTCACGAGGTATCGCAGTCGCATGAAGCACTCTTGGACCTGTACTGGAATACTAGGTCGCCTCACTGTTCTGTCGATGGAAAAAATGCTTACCGCGCAGCTAAACGTCACCACTCTGCACTTGTTAACAAAACAAAAAAGGCCTTTTTTGGTAACAAAATATTAAATTCAAAAAACACAAGCAAGGAATCTTGGGCAGTGGTCCGTACACTGTGCGATGAAAAGTATCAGACCCAATCAAACCTGATTCTTATGATCGATGACGTGGAAGTCAAAAATCCTCAGACAATAGTAGACTATTTCTGTAAATCTTTTCACCAGGAAATATGTACATTGGCTAAAGATAATGTAGCCCCTGTGTTGCCCACTGATCTCGAAGCGAGTCGCTTTGTACTGTCTCCTACTTCTGCGTCTGAGGTTCGTGAAGTCGTCTTATTATTAGGATCAAAAAAAGTTCTGGCATTGATGAAGTCCCATCCATGCAGACTTCTCAAACTTTGCAATGAAAACGTCTTTGAAGCATTGGCCTGCGCTATTAACAAGTCGTTTGAATCTGGTTGCTTTCCTGATTCGTTGAAAACTTCAAAGGTTGTCCCTGTATTAAAGAAAAATGATCCTCTTAACGCAAGTAACTATCGGCCTATTTCTGTTCAGCCTTGTTTTGGTAAAATCTTTGAGATTATTTTTCTTAAAAGATTGCTAAGTTTTATTGAAACAAATAACATCTTGTCAAAAAACCAATTTGGGTTCAGAAAAAAACATATCTACCTGTGATGCCATTTTTGCCCTTTTAAAGGAAGTATATAACCACCTTGACATATCTGACAGCTTACTATGTCTCTTTTACGACATGACAAAGGCTTTTGATCTTCTTGACCATAGGATCCTTCTGGATAAGCTGCGAATGCTTGGCATTTCTGGAAACCCACTGCGATGGATTTCATCGTATCTTAAAGATCGGCACATGATTGTATCCTTGAAGCACAGAGGCCCTGACAACATCCTCCGGACATATAAATCGTCTCCATCACCAGCTCTGAACATCGGTGTCCCCCAGGGATCAAACCTTGGGCCCATCCTATTCCCGTTATACGTGAATGACTTGTCTGGCTACATATCCTTTAGAAATTTATGGCTTTTTGCCGATGACGCCTGTCACCTAGTCCCAAGCCCAAATCTAAACATCACGATTGAAAACGCCCAAACTGGCTTGCTTGAAATGTCAACTTGGTGTAGCAAAAATCATCTGTTCCTAAATTCTAGTAAAACCAAATTAATGGAATTTTATAACAGGAAGAAGCCTGAACCACCTCCGATATTGACCTTGGACGGGGTGCCACTTGAAACCTGTAGTGAAACCAAATACTTGGGCCTACACATTACGGAGAATCTTAATTGGGGAACACATGTCGATGCAATAGCGCCCAGACTGTCATCTGTCACCTACCTGCTGTTTAGACTTCAAAAGCTAGTTGACATCGAGATTCTCCTTAAGGTTTATTATGGCTGTTTTCATAGCATTTTGGTATTTTGGGGTGGTTGCAGTGAGGCAAAACGCATCTTCATCCTTCAAAAGCGTGCAATTAGAAGAATATGTGGAGTCCTTAGACGGACACACTGTAAACCTTTGTTCCAAGAACTAAAAATTCTCACACTTCCGTCCCTCTTTATATTGGAATCCGCATTGCTTGTTAAGAAGAATCCCAATATTTTTGTAACAAACAGCATGGTCCACAATTACAATACAAGAAGAGCAACAAATCCACATGTACCTCAAGTAAATTCCACCCTTGCAAGCAAGAGCCCTTACTTCAATAGTATAAAAATTTACAATAAATTGCCTCAGTACATCACGCAAGAGCCCTCTATCAACAAATTCAAGAACCTGCTAAAAACATTCTTAAGTCAAGCGGCCTACTACAGTGTTGATGAAATATATGTCTAGGCCATGTACATCCCTGAAGAGGAAATGAATCCATCTATTTAAATTATTATCAAGAAATGTAAAAAAACCTGACGACCACGTCGCTGATGCGATACCAGTGGGAATTCTCCAAGTATCCAAGTAAGTATCCAAGTAATAGGCCTATCTTTAACTTTTTTAACTACCTACATGCTTAATTTAACTCAATCTGTTGTTGATTGCTTGAATATAAGTAAAATGAAGGACCAGTAATTTTGTCACTGATGTCACTACACAAAGGACCCTGATTGGCCATAAAATTACCGATTGGCCGTTTTAAGGTTAACGTAAATAAGGTACGTAGCTTATACTTTAGTAAAATAAATGCAATCTCCAAGCAAAAATTCATCTAGGCTACTTACCTATTTCATGAATACAGTAATAACAAATTGATTTTTTACAGTTTTACTTACTTCACAGACATAATCTTCAATTGTCCCTTGGCTGAAATATCTAAAATAAAACTTGATGTTAATAATGTGGTTTAGGCTATAAACTAATCTTTCTCTAGGCAATTGCTTCTAACACAACATTACAATTGGTCTAAATATTATAAAGTAATTGGAGAGACTGATTGGAGTCATTGATATAAGTCACTAGGCTACTATGTTCACAATATTTAAGCAGTTTGAGGGGAAGTTCCTCCACCACTTTTTCTGCTTAATGTAGGCTAACATATGTTGCTGCTGATTGACGTTTTGACAAATCTCAGCTGTTGAGCTACATTTAATAGTAGGATCAAGACGTTGAGGGGATGGATTTCATCCCCTCTATAACCACCTACATTTGAACGGTAATTAGTATACTAAAATTAGTATACTTTTTAAAAGTATAAGAACAGTTAAAAAGACTGAGAATTGGCAATTTTTTGATAGGCCTAAAAATTTTTCGCCCCAAAGTATACGCGTCGAGTAACCGAACGTGGATTAGGCGTCCGGCAGTGTCGTCACCGGGTTGTGGGGCCCGGAACACCATTACCACAACGATACGGTGTACTGCTGGTACACATGTGTTCGTGGTGTAGTGGATAGAGTACTCGGCTGATGTTCAAGAGATACTTAGATTGAATCCCATTGGTGTCACTAAATTTGTCTTTAAGATTTTGCTTAGAATGCCATTTCTTCTTAACTGTGCATCTTTTGTTAGAATTTAAGGCATTTATAATTTTTTTTCTTAACCCTTTGAGTGCCATGCAACGATTATCGTTTGGCACAACACATCTGAAAAATATACTTCACAACGATACATCGTCGTCTGTAGTCTTACCGAAAAATACATTGCAACGATAAATCGGGCCGGCGCTCCTTTCAATCATGTGAGTTTTAATTGGCATATCGATTGACTCGGTTGTTATTTTAAAACAACAGTGATTTCAATCGATTTTTCATACGATCGAGGCACAATATATCATTCCATGGCACTTTTGGGATGAAAATTTAAACTTTTACTGATTAGTATTCTTGCGCACTAAACTTCGTCCCTATGGAAAGCCTGGCACTTTTCGGACATACCTAGTAAAAAGCACTTTTCGGAAAGTAGCCAACCAAAATAAATTTCTGGCACCCAAAGGGTTAACAGAATTTAACTTTTATTCGATTTTTTGGCAAATATTTACTGTATTTACATTGGGATATGATGTAATTTTTATATGTCTACTTACAGTATTTTTAACGCTGAATCCAAAAATGCAATCAGTTTTTGTCGGAGCGATTCCTAAGTTGACATAGTGGCCGTAAAACGAAGGTTAGGATTACGAATCTAAGGATAATTGAGCGGTATTGAAGGTAATGGCAACATGGCTTGGTCTGGACTGGACGGGTCCGTACTGAGTGAGGCAGTAACGTAGCCAGGATTTCAAAATAGGCGGGGTCGACCGACCGGGGAGTCTGGGTAAAGGGGGGGGGGGGGTCTAGGGAAACGTTTAAAAATATAGGACCCTAAAACGGTTTTTTTTAGCTCTCTTGACATTGAAAATAATCAACCCCAACGTCAATACAGTACGATTATATAATTCTACATTTAATTTAACAAAAAATATTATATTTAAGACCAGAAGGGGGGGGTCCGGACCACCAGGACCCCTCCCCTGGCTACGTCACTGAGTGAGGAGTGACGAGGACTGAGTGAGAAGAGCAAACAACTGTTTATACTTGATCTAATGCGGAATGAAATCAAATCAATTGGTTTTGATTTTTGAAACCAAATAATCAGTTCTTATTTAGGCATGTGAGGAAGGTAGGTCAGGTTTTATGCGGATTCGTGACTGTATTAAGTGTTTTGAAGTGAGGTTAGATTAGGAAGGTAAAGGTTAGGTTCATTATAACCTAACCTTTAACTTACCTAATCTAACCTCACTTCAAAGGACTTAATATAGTCACGAATCCGCATAGAGTCCGACCTATTTTCCTCACATGCCTTTTCTGACATAAACTGCAATTTAAACATTAATATTAAGGTTGGGTTGGGTTAGGTTAGGTTAGATTATATTAGATTAGATTATGTAACATAATTTATTAGTTGCTGATACATTAAATTATGCACTGTGGCACGTTTTCACTTTTAGACACAATGGGATTATGTACTATGGGATTATGCACTATGGCATGTTCATTAACAGACGTTGAGGCATTAGCCAATGGTTGAGGATTGGAATGAGGACTATGATCATGTCGGCAGGGGCCTAGCTTCTATTACTGATATTTTACGTGAATAAATTCTATTTTGTTTTATATTTTATGTTCATGTGATTAATAGTTTATGTATTGTAGTTGATTTATTGTATTTTCTAAACAGTACCAAAGTCCATTTTCTTTGAAAAATCTAAGTTAGTTATTGCATATTGTAACTCTGATTTTGCTCTCATGGCGTAGTGTGTTGTTTTGTCAGTTTAGTATTGAATGTAAACAGCTGACAGCTGTTTCCACTCCACAAACCTTCCACCCCTTTTAGTGTTAGTCGCCACTAGAACTTGGACTCGTCCATAGCCTACCACAAATATGTTAATAAATCTACAAAACCGAAGCTTAATATTAATTATTTAACTATACGGCCACATAGGAATCTCTCCAACCAAAACTGATTGCATTTTTGGATTCAGCGTTAAAAATACTGTAAGTAGACATATCAAAATTACATCATATCCCAGTGTAAATACGGTAAATAATTACCGATTTTTTCATTGCCAACAAGTTTGGCCTAATCCAAGTCTGGTTACTGGACCAGACGCGTATCCTCTGCCTTTCGGCAAACCAAAACAGGATTTTATCAGAAAAAGATTTACAGTAGCCTAGGCCTAAATAGACATTTTTGGCCGTAGGCCCCTACTTTTGCCTACCATTAGCGGTTTTTGGCATGCATTAAACATTAATTTGTTTGCCCCTAAAGTTACACAGGACATAGGCCTAGGCATAACTTAGGCTAGGCTACTTAGAATTTTTTAATTTAGCAAACTACGTTTTTTTTTCACAGAGGATACGCGTCCGGTAACCAGACGTGGATTAGGCGTCTGGTAGTGACGTCACCGGGTTGTGGGGTTCCGGAACGCCATTACCACTACGATACGATGTTTGGCCAGCGTTGTTCGTGGTGTGGTGGATAGAGTGCTCGGCTGATATCCAAGAGGTCCCTGGTTCGAAACACATCGGTTTCTTTAACTTTTTGTCACAGATTTTGCTTTGAATGTAATTTCGGTAATTCTGAGCAATTACTTGGTCAACCCCAATTTTTTTCATATTTTACTACGGGCATCAGGAGGTTCTCAGAAAGCAAGAAACATGTAATTCAAGGCCCGCAAGGCCATCGTACAGGTTGCCGAGCGATAAGAAGGTTCAAAGTCCAAGCGATAACAGTGGCTTGCGGCGTTGATCCAGTTGCCGCTGACTCGGATGAGGACGTTGAACCCGGCGATTACTGAGGTAATTAATAACCTAACTCCTAACCTAACCTAACCTAACTTATTATGTTTGTTTAGTCTCAAATACATCTCTAAGGCCAATTGTATCAGTACCGTTACGTTAGGTTAGGTTAGGTTAGGTTAATTAATAACCTAACTTAACCTAACCTAACCTAACCTAAATTAACCTTGCGGGCCTTGAATTATATGTTTCTTACTTTCTGAGAACCTCCTGATGACCGTAGTAAAATATGAAAAAAATTGGGGCTGACCAAGTAATTGCTCAGAATTACCGTAATTTCTTCTTAACTGTACAGCTTTTGTTAAAATTTTTGGCATTTATAATTTTATGTTATGAAGAGAATTGAACCTTCACTTGATTTTTTTTCATTATCAGCAAGTTTGGTTGGTTAGGTTAGGTTATGACAGTAACTGCCGTGGACACCTAATCCTCGTCCTGTTACCGGACGCGTATCCTCTGCGATTTTTTTTAGCCTACAAACTTTTTGTTTAAAATAAAGTTATGTGATTTGATTTCAAACAAAAAGTTTGTAAAATATTTTTCCGGAGATTTAATCCTAATTAATCTAGCCTACCTAAGGTGCCAGCCTCAGGCCCTGGCCTAGAGCAAGTTGAATTGCTACAAAAGAAAAAGATTCAACATGGTACTCACTCTAATGTTGGTATAATATAATTTGACTTTAGATCATTTAAATAAGCGCCGTTAATTGCAGTCCCTTCAATAACAAAAATTATATCAGCTTGAATAGTGTGATCGACGGGTCCCACAACCATGTTTGACGTTTGTTGTGTGTGTTTACTTAATTAAATTTAGTTTTCTGTTTTCTTATTCTTTTTCACTTTTCATAGGCTAATACGGCTGGCACTATCGTAAAAAAAATCAAAGATTATTTTACGGTTGGTACAGCTGCGGCCCCAAACAACCAATGTTTTCTGCTGGCATCTGGCATGGTGGTCGGTGGAAGGAAATAACATGGGTGTGCTAATTCCCATCATATTCTGACGTCACTCGGATTGCAAACAAAAGATCGCCTGATTGTCCCTGTCAAATTAGTATGTACATGGTCCGGCAGAAAAAAACTCCGCGATTACAAAGTAACGTGATGTGGACAGGTGGACAGTAGAAGGAGCAGAGTGGTGGGGGGCGCGTCCTTGAGTGTAGCTACTCGACGTTCTGTACCCACGAGCACCTTAGCTTCCACAAGCACAGAAGGCCTTCGAACAGTTCCTGGGATAACAGCTATTTGTGTAATAGCTTCACTGTATATCTTTATTGGACCTGTTTAGATAGTTGTTTCAACAGTTGCAGTTGCGAACATCGATGTATAATACTCTTGCGAACTGTGCATTGTGATTTTAAGGTGTTTATTCTTTACTGTTTGTTTATTTTTGACTTGAGCTGCTTGATAAGGTGTTTTATGATTATGAAAATGAAAGTGTTGTGAGTGAGCTGAAGCTGATTTGTTATTAGGTATTGACAATTAGCCTAAATGTTTTGCGTGCATGAATTATTTATGAAGTTTACTTAACCTATATTTTTCGGATTCCTCAAGAGAGAGTGATTGTTAGGTTATGTGTTTGTGTGTGAATATGTTAGATTGCAGTTTTGGTAGTGGTAGGTCAAAAGTCTCTAAGGTAAACTTAGGCATACTCTTATAAATAGATAAGTTATTAATTTAACTTTTTCAAAGGCAATAACTTAGACCTAAACTCCACTGAAAGGCCCAACTAACTTATTTAAAATAAACCGAGACCTAAGTTACCACTACCAAAACTCCAATCTAACAAATTCACACACAAACGCAACGCAACCTAACATTAACACTCACTCTCTCTTGAGGAATCCAAAAAAGATAGGTTAAGTGAACATTTAAAACTTCATAAATAATTCATGCACGCAAAATGAATTATTTCAGCTCACTCACAACACTTTCATTTTCATAATCATAAAACACCTTATCAAGCAGCTCAAGTCAAAAATAAACAAACAGTAAAGAATAAACACCTTAAAATCACAATGCACAGTTCGCAAGAGTATTATACATCGATGTTCGCAACTGCAACTGTTGAAACAACTATCTTAACAGGTCAAATAAAGATATACAGTGAAGCTATTACACAAATAGCTGTTATCCCAGGAACTGTTTCAGGGCCTTCTGTGCTTGTGGAAGCTGAGGTGCTCGTGGGTACAGAACGTCGAGTTGAGTAGCTGCCTACGTACGTGCCGTTTTCAGTGTACGCCATGGCGTGGTCTGGTGAACATCGTGCATTCGTAGTAGAAAATTTTATTCAAAATGGCTTTTCGTGTTCGCTTTAAAAAAAAAAAGAAAAAAAAGCGTGTTTGTCCTTGAACACGCTTGGGACGACGGGACCCCGCTCCCGATAAGAAAACAATTCATTCTTGGGTTTCTAACTTTCGTGAGACAGGTTCTGCATTAAAACGGAAACCACTTGGACGACCACGGACTGCAACAGGCCCCGGAAACGTTGATGCAGTTAGAGCTTCAGTTCAACAATCTCCTCAACGATCCGCTAAAAAGCATGCGGCAGCATTACGGATTTCTGATCGGAGTGTGAGAAGAATCTTGCATCGAGATTTAAAAATGCATCCTTACAAAATTGTAACTACACAAGAACTGAGTGAACGAGACTGTGGTGTCCGTGTAAGGTTGTGCCGAGACCTTCTTCGAAACATTCGTCCCGAAGATGTAGTGATTGTTTCTGATGAAGCACACCTTCACCTTTCCGGAACAGTGAACAGCCAAAATTGTAGGTACTGGTCTGAACAAAACCCACAAGAACTTCATCAACGGCCACTTCATAGCCCGAAAGTAACAGTATGGTGTGCTGTTTACAATTCCGGAGTGATCGGTCCTTACTTTTTCGAAGAAAATTACAGGAATTTAACCGTCAACAGTGAACGCTATTGTGCCATGCTCCGCAACTTTCTCCAACCGAAACTAAGGGAACTTTTTGGTGAAATTGAGAACGTGTGGTTCCAGCAAGATGGCACTACAGCCCACACAGCGCGGCAGTCACTGGCATTGGTGAAGGAAATGTTTCCTGGCCATGTGATCTCGTTGCGTGGTGACATTGGCTGGCCCCCACGATCGCCGGACTTGGCGCCCTGTGATTTTTTTCCTTTGGGGCTATTTAAAATCAAAAGTTTATGAACAACGTCCACAATCTTTACGAGCCCTGAAAGAAGCAATTACACAAGAGGTTGAAGCTATTCTTCCAGAAATGACTCAACAAGTAATGGATAACTTAAGGGAAAGACTCAACCAGTGTGTCGACTGTAAAGGAAGCCATTTAAGAGATGTTTTATTTAAAAAGTAAGACTAATGGTAAACCCTAAGAATGGTACATTTTCTAAAATGGCAGAATATGTACTTTTAGTTGGTATAAATAAAAATGTTCTACCTTATATGGTTTTGTTTCTATTAGCTTTTCTTTTAGGGGAGGTTTTTCTGCCGGACCCTGTATTTGTTTTGATTTGATTGTTATTGTTTTTACAATACCACCCCAACCCCCGGTGGGACACACGGGAGGGACGATGGCTAACATAGTGTCAGCATTCGCCGCTCGCTAAGTTGACAAATTTAAATTAAGTTAATTTTATAATTTTTAGTTATAAAATTAACTTTTTAATTATAAAATTTAACCGTCATAACCTAACCTAACCAACCAAACTTGCTGATAATATAAAAAATATATAAGATAAAAAATAAATGAATGTTTACTTATAATTTTTAATAATAAAATCATTTTTAAAATTTTGTATAGTAAAATTAAATTGTCATAACCTAACCAACCAAACTTGCTGATGATATAAAAAAAGATATAAGATAAAAACCAAATAAAGCAAAATCTTTGACAAAAAGTTAATGTCCCCGACGGATTTCAAACTCGAGACCTCCTGAACACTAGTTTGATGCGCTACCAACTATGCCACGAACGCCGCTGAAATCACATCGTCTCGTTACGGTAATCGTGTTGCCTCAAGAGACATTTATTAGCCATTATAGATATGACGTCACCACACCTTTAGCCATCGTCCCTCCCGTATGCCCATTTCCCCCAACCCCAGCGCTCAACGTATCGTAGAAGTGCGTAACGCATTCCACCTACCAATAAAAAAATTGAAAAAAGTGACGTCAGCCAATCAGAAGTCTCTAAATGACAAAACTAATAGTGAAATAAAAATTGTGCGGCCTTGATCAGGCTGTGAAAACTAATACAAAAATGACCTTCTCAAGAAGAAGTTACACTCTTATTGAATTAGAAGGCTGTCACTACAATGGATCTCGTATTACCTTGCCAACCGAAGTTAATATGTAGAGGTGAAAGCATTGGATAGCACTAAGCACTGGGTGTCTACTTACGCCCTCACAGATCCTCTACTGGTACGATCGTCAGTGGAGTGCCTCAGGGGTCGGTTCTTGGTCCGGTACTGTTCCTCCTCTTCCTCAACGACCTCCCATCGTCCCGTTAGTTGTTCAAAAGAGTGAATTATGTCTTTTTGCTGAAGACACATCTCGCTGTTTCCAGCCCAAACCGACTCGAACTAGGTATGTGTGCCTTTAGGTGTACAATGCAGTTGTCTGCTTGCAATATTGAGCGGAGCCAGCATATTAATTCAATGTCAATGATATATTTGGTTCGCATTTTAAATAGAATGCCTATTTGCAGTAGGTATCCAAAGTCAATCATAAGTCCGGATTAAGTGAATGAATTGTCTACTTGCAGAAACCATATTCTATGTTTCATCTGGTTCTCATAAGTTAAATGTATACTTGCAGTATCCAATGCTAATAATATATTTAGTTCGCATAAATGTAATGCCTATTTACAGATTCTTAAGTCAATGGTACGTCTGGTTCACGTAGACGGATTGTTTACTTGTAGTATCCAAACTCAATGGTACATGTAAATGAATAGTCTACTTGCAGTATCCTAAATCAATGGTCCATTTATTTCGTTCACTTAAATAAAATGCCGAATTGCAGTGTCCGAAGTCAATGGTAGGCTTAGGCCTACTTCTGCTTCACTTATATGGGATGTCTATGTGCAGTATTCAAAGTAAATGATGCGTCGGGTTTACGTCAACGAATTGTCTAATTGCGTTATCGAAACTATGAGTGTTAAATTTGGTTCACAATAATGGAATTCCTATTTGTAGACTGCAAATAGGAATTGCAGTAAATATACAAAGCCTACATTAATGGCACGTCTTGCTCACATAAAATACTGTAAAAGTTATTTACAGTATCCAAACCATAGACTAACCAAGAGTATGTTTTATCTATGATCCAAACGCAATATGGTCCATTATTCTAATTCTGGCAACCCTTATGGTTATTCATTTTGTAGTAAATTATGCTCAATGCTATTAATCAAAAGCAGGAGTGTAGTATTAGAGAAGTTATAAAGTCAATGATAAGAGCTTCACTCGCTTCGCTACGCTCCGCTCAATAATAATTATTAAAAAGCAATAACGATTATTATTTGAGATCCCAGGTTCGAATCTCCTCGGCGGCCTTAAAATTTTGCTTCTGATTTTGTTAGAATATAATTTTCTCTTAATTTCACTAATCAGTAGTTTTTTTTTATCTGAGAAATTTATAATTTAATTTTGTCATAAGAATGCATTTTTTATAAATACATTAACTTTTTGTTTGTAATCATTTCCTAACAGCGAATAATTGAGATAGGCTAATCGATTCTTAAAATTATCAATTCGTTTAAGTATAGACCTATAACTTAGGTCTAGTTTTATTCGAGCAG